ATTTATAGACCTTGTATACAGGGTGTCCGCAAAGTTGGGGTTTTCCTTTACACGACGTATAGATCTTGAAAACATAAGCAATTTTTCTTAGTACCATATACACCAATGTCTTAAGGGAACCGAGATAAAGGGCTCTGCAACATCAAAAATATCTGAATACTGTCCTGTAGCCGCGACATCACCGACTGGTACAAGGTCACTGGCTCAACCCGACGACAGAACTGGGTCGGGGTCAGTGTGTCAGGTCAGTATGCAACCTTCAACCGACGGTTACGGTCACGCGTGTAGAGGTAATCGCGTAGACGAGAATCCTTCAACAAGCACTAGAGACGTGGCTAGAGAAGTGCAAGTATCAAAAACTAAAGTGTGGCAAACGCTGCGTGAAGAGGGGCTGTATCCGTTTCACGTCCAACGTGTACAGGCCCTTCAACCTGACGATTTTCCAGCAAGAGTGCGGTTTTGTGAGTGGTTGTTGCATTAACATGACAATAATCCGGACTTTTTAAAGTGCATATTGGTGACAGACGAATCTACGTTCACGCGTAATGGGGTGAATAACTTTCGCAACACTCATGTTTGGTCAGTAGAAAATCCGCACGCTGTCCGTCGAGCACATTTTCAACAAACATTTTCGGTGAATGTTTGGGCTGGCATGGTGAACGGTATGCTCATTGAGCCATTTATTCTCCCAAATCGATTGGACGGGATGCAATACCTAGACTTTTTACGCAACATTTTGCCTTCCTTGTTAGAAGATGTGCCATTAAGTGTAAGACAATCAATGTGGTTTCTGCGTCTGCTCGGTAGCGCATCAGCTGATTTTATTTTCTGCTGGAGCGGTATGCTTTCGGGCAGAGACGTACTTAGCCCTTCTCGTCAACTGGAGAGTGAGTACTTCTTCCTTTATTTTTTTTACTTGGTCGCCCTCGTTTCACTACACATCACCTTTGTTATCTCAAGGGTAGTTGTTTCTGAAAAGGAAAACCCCAACTTTGAGGACACCCTGTACATCGGGCACATTATCCCGCATCATTTGAGATTACACTTGTAACACACGATTATTTGTTGAATGGTTGCAGCGAAATTTTTTGTGTGCAAGTAGGTAAGAATCTGAACAAAATCTTGCACTCTGTTACTAACGCCAGAAGCTATGTTTCCAACGAGTCCCTTCGCAGAGAGCTCGACATTCCTTACTTAAGAGACTACATCCAACAACAGGCATAGTTACGTTGTTGTTGTGCTGACTCGCACAGCAACCCTCTCTTTCGTGAGTCAGTAGACTACACAGACGAGCAAGTTCGCAAGCGCGCACACAAGACCACGGCTCGCACTGTGCACAAAATTAAATCGTGCAATTCCAGGTCCAACCGAAGTTACAATTATTCGACACATACAAATTCTTAATTCATTTTTGGATCGATTTAAATTACTGAATACTAGTTAAACATGTCAAGGCATCCTTCCAACAAATCCATTTGCCTTTGGTTGCTCTTCAACCTTCCTTCCTTTGTTGCTTCTTCCCTTCTTGCTCTCTGACTTTGTCTGTTATCTAAGTAACATCCCAACTAGCAAAGTAGTGCTATAAGCTTTTGGTAAAAGAACCGTTCAGCCATAAAAGCTCTCTATTCTTGTTGCCTGAACACCAAAATGCTGGCTTAATGTTGTGTGGAATGCAAATTTGCTTTCTGCAACATATCTGCTCTAAAATGAGGTGTTTAAAATATTCTTATAGCATAGTTACTCAACACCTTATAGGACAAATTTTTAACTGTTGCATAAACGTTTATACAACTATTTTATATGGCTTATTTGCAGGTTAGTCGAAATGGTTGTGTTGTGGCATCCATGGTAACGTTTATAAAACAAACCCGAGCCTTGTTGTTATGCTGTGCAAACTTACTACTTTAGCCAACAAATTGCTCCCAACGGAAGCACTTATACAACTGTTACATATGCTAAATATGTTGGTAAACAACTTCACCATAACCTAACTTTCTGCTGTCATATTTTTGTTAAAATGCCATAACCAATGATTTAAGACAACAACGCATGCATATTGGTTAAAAAGATTTTATCAACTGTTCAAACAGAAGATATAGATCTGGTACAAATTCTAGGTAAATCATTCGACTCTATCGGCATTTCATTTCTGACATTTGTCAAATAGTTGTATAACACCTACAGGCACTACTAAAGACAATATGGACGATGCCATGATTATACACAACGACCCGCCATATTCGGCAAACATTTATTCCTCTATTTGATATTAAATAATTATAAATTACAGATATAAAGTGATAAACATTAGTGTAATTGTGCCTAAATATAGGATTTGTGGAAGATTTAACGCAGATAAGTTCAGTTTTCCATCATAAAAATCTAGTCATACTTTTGATCATTATCAAAATATGAATCAAATACGAAGCCCGTAGAAATTGCGTAACTACTTTGCACGATAATCACAATAAAATTTGCTGCGCAAGTAATTCAATAGCCCTATATCCCAGTGTAGAAGTTTATCATATACCTGTGTATGAAATTCACAATGACCGATATGTAAGTAAACAAGATGACTGTATTGTGTTAGTTATATATTCTTCACTTCGTCTATACAATACATAAGAAATAGTTTGGTTGCAATAAAGTAGAATCACGTAACAGAATAGTTGTATGGTTGACAAAAACTGAATCTTGCACTGATGCAAATGTCCTATAGCGGCTGCAAGAGGCTTACACTTTTGTTGTATAACTGTTACCTGCAGCCCTTATACAACCTCTTAAATGACCTATTAGGTGTGCCTATTCCGCTTGTATAGCTGCTCTAAGAGGGTTTTGCCAATGTTCTTACAATATACAATGCTGTGTAAGGAATACTGTATAATCATTCTTGCAACTCTAATAGGAGTGATAATTGTTAGTTGGGATGACAGACCTAATGACCTACAATACTTTAACCAAGAGCAAAGCTCTGACGAACAATGACGATTGGAGAGACTGTCAGACACTGTCCGTTGAGTCGACTGTCTTGCTTCTGCCATCTGTTTGTTATTTATCTCCCAGCGATGATTTCCACATCGAAATCGATCTCCGTGGCAGCTGTCTAGATGACGGTAGATACTTCTTTGTGTTTCTCGAGTCTTCTAGATGGCACTGCGCATATTGCTGATATAGACCAATCCATCTCGATGATGCTGCAATCATCACCACTCTGGACAAACGGAGGCGTAACCCTGGTTGCCTAAACGTCGGCACTTTAAAGGCGTCCCATCGCCACTCAAGGACCTATTTATGAGGGCATTGCAATACGATGATATTAGCTCCTTTTCAAAGTAATCTGACGGTAAAAGTTGTGTTTACAGAAGCCAAAATACCGGGGCACCGCGACGTCTATAGGCACCTTAAAAAATGTTTGCCTTCTAAGGTTAGCAGAACTAAGAAAAGCCTCCTCATGCAGACTGTTCCACAATCTCGACGCGCTAGCAATAAAGGAGCAGTCGTACCGACCAGTTCTCGTTCCGCTAATTTCGATAGAGTTGGTATGAAGGAGAGCTCTGAAGGTCAACGTCTGATGACATAGCGGTAGAAGAGAGCAAGATCGCCGATCGCCCGCCCGCGTCTGACCGTTGGAAAAGTGCCATTGACCAGTCGAACAGCCCGTCTCTGAACAGCATCGAACGTGGTCAATGTACCCGGGACGTTCAAATTGGCTTTGAATGGAGAATGCCGTAAAATGTTATTCGATTTCCATGAAGCATGATTGATGAACTGTCAGACGGTTGAACGATTTTTAATCAGCGACAAATATTCATGTCACGAAAGTTGGAAAATATCCGTCGGCCGGCTTTATGTATTTTTGATCGATTGATGTTGTGACGGCGTGCGAAGCTTTGCATAATTTTTATGATGCAGTTAACCATGTCCACCAATGTGTCTGGATATAAATGGCTTATGGATGGACACAACAGGTCACCCTTAACACAACTGCTGAGATTGTTCATAGCGGCAACTTTTGAGTTTCGCAAATATTAAATACAAGGTGGTCTTATATACCGAGTGTTTCAAGTTCGAGGATCACCATTGGGAGTACTCGAAAATGGTAAGAGATACGAAGTCGGCTAAACGGGGGCAACATTGCTTATACAGGGTGTCCCGAAAAAAGTGAGCAATATTATACCAGCGGTTTCTAGAGCTTAAAATAGGAAGAAAATTGTATACAAACATAGGTCGACAAACGTCCACTAAGGGCGCTACGGTCTTTTAAAGGGGCTCCCCTGAAGATGGTTTTTCCTTAATATTTCCGAAACGTGTTGAGATGAGGACATAAAATTTGGTTTTCTAGCCTAGTTATTTATGCTGGATTTAAAAATATTAACAATTTTAGACAGTTTTGTTTGGAAGCGTATGGTAACAGGGACGGAATTAGGGCATTTGAGCCCCAAAATTTTTGTGTGATTCTATTTTGAAATTCAATTTTAGAATCTAAAAATTTAGGGCTTTCTACATAATAAAGGTACTCTTATTGAATATCGATAAATTGTGCCATTTTTGAATAAAATCAAACTAAAAATTTTGTCACATAATAGGAAATGTACTGCGAATTTAAATGAATTGTTGAATAATTAGCCAATTAGCTAATTTAATAATTGATAAATATTAGATAAATACATATTTTTATTGCAACATAGCTAACATTCAGGCAAAAATAAAAGAAATAAATTTTTTCTACGAACGAAATTGAAATTTGTTTAAAAAAGAAGACATACAGTTGGATATACTTAAAACTAGCTTTACAATAAGTATTCAAATAAATTCCCATTTTGTTGGATACAGAGTCTCGCTCGACGAACTAATGATTGCGTAGCCCGAAAAGTGGAAAACCTTTTCATTTGCAGCCTGATGGATTCTTAGAAGTAGAGGAAAGTGACCAAATATGGAATAGTCTCCTTTTATGGAATACGCAATTAATTTCTAAATTATTTGCGCCATCTGCCGTTTTTATGCCCGAAGTGGCGCCCCAAGGTTCAAAACCCATTACAGAAACCTGTAACCGTCTTTCAGTTTCTGCAGTCTGTCAAAAACTGAGGTACAGTGAATCGCCGCCTACTAAATTTTTTGCAGCAGGTTAGTATTTTTTGATATCTAGAGTGTGTTTTGAGCCGAATTCGAAATCTGCGCAATATAATACAATGTAGGATGACGGCTTAGTCTATTGCTAGCCTAATTTTTCCCTTGATAAAAGCCTGTCAGTTCATAACATGATTAACCTCCAAATGCGTGGCGTTCCTAATATGGAATATCAACAAGGTCCAATTATGGAATATATTCCATATTAGGTGCACTATTTGTTTAAACATAAATAATGGTTTCCGTTTGTATTCAGACATGCCTAAGTCAAGGAAAGGGAAAAAAGAAAATGGAAGAAAATTGTGGGAGAAAGGAAGCATGGAGGTAGCAGTGGCAGCAGTTAGAGATGGTAGAATGGGGTATTTAAAAGCAGCAAAACAAATTAATGTGCCACGAAGCACCCTTTTCCGGTTATGTAAACAACACGGAGAGCCAGTTACGGTGTGTGACACACGGTTAGGACGAAAACCAGTCCTCTCAATCGAGTTAGAAAATGAACTTGCAGATTATTTGCTTGATATGGACAATCGTTTCTTTGGGTTGACTAGAACAGATGTTCGCAGAATGGCATACCAACTTGCAGTTGTGAATGGCATCGAGCACAGATTTTCTGAACACCTCGGGCAAGCAGGGAGGAAATGGTTAAAGGCATTTGTGAAAAGACATTCAAACTTAACACTCAGAAAACCTACCGGGACATCATTCGCCAGAGTAGCAGGATTCAACAAAGCAAATGTTAATGCATTTTCCGATCTTCTGGAAGCCGAAATGGAGAAACTCCATTATCCTGCAGATAGGGTATTCAATGTTGACGAGACGGGTTTGACGGTGGTACAATCAAGGTGCAGCGAAGTAATTTCTTTAAAGGGTAAGCGACAAGTGGGAGCGCTAACATCCGCTGAACGTGGTTCATTAGTGACGGTTATTATGTGCACGAATGCTGCTGGTACATTTATACCATCAATGATAATATATCCCAGAAAAAATATGAATGTTCAGCTTCAAAAGGAGCACCTCCAGGCTCTCTATTCGCATGCCATCCATCCGGATGGATCCAAACACATTTGTTCACAGAATGGTTTCACCACTTTCTTACTAAAGTGAAACCATCAAGGGATGAACCGGCTCTTCTAATTTTAGATGGGCATAACACACACACTCGAAATTTAGAGTTCTTGCGCTTAGCAAAACAGAATGGGGTAACCATAATATGTCTGCCTCCTCATACCACCCATAAACTGCAGCCATTAGACAAAAGTGTTATGGGTGCACTCAAGGCCCATTACAATGAGGAGGTTCGTGTATTCATGCGAACCTATAAACGTCCCATCACACAGTATGATATCACAGAAATCTTCGGCAGGGCCTACCTTAAGATACAGTGTGGTTCCAATGCTGTTAAAGGATTCGAGACGACAGGGCTATATCCGGTCCGCAGGAATAATTTCGACGAATCTGATTTTCTGAAAGCTGCACAAGAAGGCTCTGATGACGAATCTACCGCTGCAGTACCTGAACAATCTGAGACTAACACGGCAACAAATCCCACAGTAATTGAGCAACTGTGCGGTAGACCGAATACCCCAGCGGTAGAAACGCACGTGACCCCACATTACATTTTACCACTTCCCAAATTGCAACAAAAAAAGGGACACGAGGAAGGAAACCCGGTCAGGCCAAAATTATCACGCCTTCTCCCTACCTTAAAGAATTGGAGACATCATTGAACGTTTCTAAGGAAAAAGTTGAAGCAGTCAAACGAAAACTTGGGGCCCCCAAAAAATCTAGGAAAGTTCAACCATGCCCTCAACGTGAAACCGAAAGTATCCTAACTCAGCCAAGCACAAGCGGGCTGCATTTAGTGGCCTCCAAACGGAAGGCGAGGAATAAGAGAAGGTCATCAAGTTCTACTTCTTCAGAAAAATCTGAAGCACTGCATTATCAAGATTCCTCCGGTGATGAACTGACTCAAGAAACTACAGTAGATCCTGACGAGGATGCCATATGCGGATATTGTGATGGGACATTTTCTGAAGACCAAAGGGGCGAAATGTGGATACAATGCATATTGTGCCTTCAGTGGTTCCACGAACAGTGTTCTGGGGCATACCGAAGCAAATTTGTGTGCGATTTTTGCAAGTAAAATCGCTTCTGTTCCAGTGTAAAATTTCTGAAATGTTTCAAGTTTGTTTAATGTTTGTTATGTAGATAATATTCAGTTCCGTTTTTTTTTGTATTTTATGTTTATCGTTATGTAACAGAGTTCTATTTGATGTTTAGTTCTGAAAATATAGCATTTCTATGTCTTTTTTGATGAGAATTTGGTGTATTCCATATTAGGTTCCAAGGTATTCCATATTAAGGACACATTTTTGAAGTCGCCAAGAATGCACCTTAAATAATATTTCAGTTTCTGAACAGGGAAAATGACGTATTTTGGCCAAAAATTGATATGACTTTTTCATTATGCTCTGTTACACCCAACAGTATTGAGAAAACGAAAATTAATTGAACTATGGTCTGAATACAGTCAAAAACAAAAATGGTATTCCATATTTGGTCACTTTCCTCTAAATCTTCTTGAGTATTTACTTCAGTCGAGTAAACTAGGTCTTTTAATGACCCCCAAAAATAGAAATCCAATGGATTTAGGTCAGGTGAACGTGGCGGCCACGCTATAGGACCTCCTCGGCCTAACCACCTATCTGGAAAATTGACATTCAACCAATTTCAGACATTGTGTCCAAAATGTGCAGAGGCGCCATCATGTTGCAAAAACATATTTTCTTGAAACTGCTGGCGCACATCCAATGGTATTATATCCATGAGCTCATTCTGAAGAAAGTTCAGATACACCTCTGAATTAAGACTGTTGGGAAGTACAATAGGCCCAATTACTTGATCCCCAATTACTCCTGCCCATAAGTTCAATGAAAATCTATGTTGGAAATTTGTACGGCGAACAACTTTTGGATTTTCATCTGACCAGTGATGCATGTTATGGAAATTAAAAGCACCATTCCTAGTACATATTGACCCATCCGACCATAATATTCTAGGAATAGTGTTTTCATTTGCTAATATCCACTGGCAAAACTCGATTCCTGGTAAAAAATCTGCCCCCGTTAAGATTTTATTCAAAAATGGCACAATTTATCGATATTCGATAAGAGTACCTTTTTTATGTAGAAAATCCTAAGTTTTCAATTTCTAAAATTTCAAAAATAGAATCACACAAAAATTTTGGGGTTAAAATAACCTGAGTCCGTCCCTGTTACATACGCTTCCAAACAAAACTGTCTAAAATTGTTAATATTTTTAAATCCAGCATAAAAACTAAGCTAGCATACCAAATTTTATGTCTTTATCTCAACACGTTTCGGAAATATTAAGAAAAAACCATCTTCAGGGGAGCCCTTTTAAAAGACCGTAGCGCCCTTAGGGGGCGTTTGTCGACCTATGTTTATATAAACTTTTCTTCCTATTTTAAGCTCTGGAAACCGCTGATAGAATATTGCGCACTTTTTTCGGGACACCCTGTGTAGGTGTATATACAGGGTGTTCCATAATTATTGCGACAAAATGATAGGGGTTGTAGAGGGCATCAAAATGAACAATTTTTCCTTATAAACCCCTGTTCGGAAATATGCCGTTTGGGCTGCAGCAAAAAAAAAGATCAGTTTCTTGAAATAGCTTACCTACAGTAATTGCTCAAAGTGTCCTCCACCTTGCTCAATACACAGCTGTGCACGATTGTTCAATGATCGGCGAACTCTGTGGCATACCCCCGGTATGTCCTGAACATGTGCGGACGCGGCCATCACTCTTCCCAGTAGCTCTTGTTGGTTGGGAACAGGAGTTTCGTACACTAAAGCTTTCAGATAGCTCCAGATAAAATAATCCAGTGGGGTCAGGTCAAGTGACCGCGCAGGCCAAGGCACAGGGCCACCTCGGCCTATCCACCTATTTGGAAATTTGTCGTCCAAATACTGCCGCACTTGTAAAGAAAAGTGGGCTGGACCGCCATGGTGTTGAAACCACATGTTGGCTCTTATATTCAGTGGCACATTTTGTAATAGTTCCGGTAGCACATGCTGTAAGGATCGACCATAAGCATGCCCATCCAAACGTGGTGGAAGCAGATATGGCCCGATGATATGCTCGTCCACAATGCCGCACCAGATGTTAATTGAAAACTGATGTTGGTCTCTATGGATGGCTATGGCATGAGGGTTTTCTTCATCCCAAATGTGACTGTTATGGCTATTAAAATAACCGTCCTTTGTAAAACAGGACTCGTCAGTGAACAAAACGTAGCGACCAAAGTTTGGTTGCCTCAACTCCTGCTGCAGCCACCAACGGCAAAAACGTCGACGCGGCAGATAGTCTGCTGGACCCATGGCTTGGACTTTTAAAAGGTGGTACGGGTGTACGATAACAAAAATGTAAACACAGCAGGCTTTTTTTACAAGCCGGTGAGACCATGAAATGTGCTAGACGAACATTTTGCAGCTGGTGAATTTTTTGTTTCTCCTATGAGCTCTTAAGGTAAAATTAACTGTAGTGCTCAAACGGCATATTTACGAACAGGGGTTTATAAGGCAAAATTGCATATTTTTATGCCCTCTACAACCCCTATCATTTTGTCGCAATAATTATGGAACACCCTGTATATATATATATATATATATTTGCTGGTTCTTTACGACTACTGTCGTTTCCCGCTTTTCAAACGCCACATCGTTCGGTCCATCCAGATTTCCTCTTGGAGTCCTCTGGATGTCATAGACTCTTCAGCATCTTGCTTCCAACTTCTTGGAGGTCTACCACGTTTGCGACGCTCTAGTGGTACTCACTCATAGACTTTTCCTGGCTATCTTGTGTTATCCATACGTTGAAGGTGGCCGTACCTAAGTAATCTTTTTGCTTCAATCGTTCCTAAGATGTTGTGGTCGACTTCCATAATTTGTCTGATTCTTTCGTTCCTAACATGTTCTGGACTGGAGATTCGGCAACTTCTTCTCCAGTAATCCATTCCCAGGGACATCAACCTTTCTTTTCGGTATCTCCCATATTTCTGAGCCATAGGTACAGATACTTTCTACTATAGCGTTGAATATCAATTACTTTGTTTTGTTTGTCACTCTAGTACTCCGCTTATACAGAGTGTCCGCAAAGTTGGGGTTTTCCTTTTCAGAAACAACTACCCTTGAAATAACAAAGGTAATGTGTAGTGAAACGAGGGCGACCAAGTAAAAAAAATAAAGGAAAAAGTACTCACTCTACAGTTGACGAGAAGGGCTAAGTACGTCTCTGCCCGAAATTATACCGCTCCAACAGAAAATGAAATCAGCTGAAGCGCTACCGAGCAGACGCAGAACCACATTGATTGTCTTACACTTAATGGCACATCTTCTAACAAGGAAGGCAAAATGTTGCGTAAAAGTCTAGGTATTGCATCCCGTCCAATCGATTTGGGAGAATAAATGGTCCAATGCATACTGTTCACCATGCCAACCCAAACATTCACCGAAAATGTTTGTTGAAAATGTGCCCGACGGACAGCGTGCGGATTTTCTACTGACCAAACATGAGTGTTGCGAAAGTTATTCACCCCATTACGCGTGAACGTAGATTCGTCTGTCACCAATATGCACTTCAAAAAGTCCGGATTATTGTCATGTTGATGCAACAACCACTCACAAAACCGCATTCTTGCTGGAAAATCGTCAGGTTGAAGGGCTTGTACACGTTAGACGTGAAACGGATACAGCCCCTCTTCACGCAGCGTTTGCCACACTTTAGTTTTGATACTTGCACTTCTCTAGCCACGTCTCTAGTGCTTGTTGAGGGATTCTCGTCTACGCGATTACCTCTACATGCGTGACCGTAACCGTCTGTTGAAGGTTGCATACTGACCTGACACACTGACCCTGACCCAGTTCTGCCGTCGGGTTGAGACCTTGTACCAATCGGTGATGTCCCGGGTCGCGGCTACAGGACGGTATTCAGATATTTTCGATGTTGCAGAGCCCTTTATCTCGATTCTCTTAAGACATTGGTGTATATGGTACTGAGAAAAATTGTTTATGTTTTCAAGATCTACACATCGTGTAAAGGAAAACCCCAACTTTGCGGAAACCCTGTATAGGTAACTAAGAAAATGAAAGTTTCGTAATTCCAAGTATTTTCGGAAAAAAACCGAATTACCATTGCCAGTTTTCGCCCTCTACAAAGAGCCATAATTAGAATTGCAATTTGACTTTTCGTCTCTTGTCCTCACTAATCAACTTTCTATTTTTATTGACACATCAATGCTGCAGCTTCCGAGAACCGAAATTCATATAATTTGCCCATTTATCAATTTTGACAAAGCGTTATTTAAGCACGATGGACAGACAGGCGTAGATGAGTATTTGAATGCAAGATGTGCTCATCGGTTTAGATATGGCGGATATGCAACAATGTTGAGGCTTTTATTTACTCTGCCGACATGTTTCCACCAGTTACATAAAATAATACTGGTTTCTGGCCATCAGATATCCATCGTAATTGACGGGTTCTCCTCTTCATCCAACAAGGTCAATGCGGGTGTTCCCCAAGGATCGGTCTTGGCTCCGACACTGTTTCTCTTACAAATCAACGACCTCCTTTCCTGTACGATCCACCCATCCCACAGCTTTGCTGATGACAACACTCTACATGCAGGAATTCATCTATGTCTAGT